AAACCGTTGACGCCCTATTCGCTCTCTCTATAGAAATTACGATGTCTGAAGCCATTTTAAACTCCGTCATCTCCGCACAGCCATTCTTTCGATGCCGGGCAGTCTGCCGGGTCGGCTCCCTGCCTACCTTTTGGTCTGATTGGGAAGGCATGCCGCAATCCGCCGGCCTTGCGCAATCACCGTCCATCTCCATCGCATTTCCTTCAGATAGGCTTGGGCCATGAGGTGGGTTATTTTCAGCGTTGATCAACAGTCATGCTCAACATTGGCCCGGGGCTCATGAATCTTTCGAGTTGAAATTTACGCCCGAGGAAGAAGAGTGGGAGGCCGAGCAGCTAGTGGCAGCCGCTTGTGTTGATTTTAACAGCGACATTCCTTTCGTTTGCTGCACCATTTGCTGGAATCACCAGTACTGTGAGACTGTGGAATCTGTATCAACATACCGTACATCACAACACAATCACAACGTTTGCATTCGTACCAACAACTATTTGGATGTGGATGGAGATGTAGGTGTCTGATATGCTCGCGGCTGGGCCTCGCTAATTTCATCCAGGAAGCCATCGCACAGTTCCAACGGTGTTTCCCCCAGTTCCGGGTTTATACGTCTGGTGTATTTCCACACGAGAGTGTCGGTGCCTTCGGGAAAGCAGAAGATCAGATCACGGCTCAAAATTTGCGGGAGTCGTGTCGTCCTTTATCAAGTTTGTGCATATCATTGTTCGGACGAGATTAAATATACTCCTAATTCCGCCCAGCATCAGCCCGCAAGCACTACCGCCTCCAGAGCGCGCGCGAGTCCACCGACGGATATAGATCAAGGTCTCGGGGGATTCCACCGCAGTCGTCTCGAACTTCAATGACAAGATTTTATCAAGCATATGACTTTCTTTTGCTGGACTATATACATATACATATATTCGTTGAGTGGTTCAGATCAATGAACTTCCTTCCCGGGTCCACCGCTCTCGATAAGTAACCTCTGAATTTGGTTTTGAGACTCAGCATATTCCACGCGCCACGAGCGGCTGGGAGCGTAGCCGCGAGATGGCGTAAACCGTCATAAACTGTGGAGGTGGCCGATCGCAAAGGAACGAGCCAATATTGGCGTCTTCCACCTTCGCTCACGCAAATGAGGTGAAGAGCTAGGCGACCGCCACTTCTTTCCATCCGCAAGACGTCCTCCGCCCACCGCGCTTGATCTTCTCGCGTCCAAGGCGTGGGAGTTGCTCAGTGGCTGCACATAGGTGCTGACTCGACCCATCCCGTAGTCGAATATGGTGAAGAAAGGAGTGTCGGGTGGTCGTGCATAAATATGACTTCCCGAATCCGGGCATTGACATTGTCGCTCCCGCCATAATCGTGCTCCATAAGCGCACGATGTAGAATCGATCACGCACACTAAATGGCGACTGCGGATCTGAAGACGTAGTCAGAGCAGGAAGCAGGGAGCGGTAGATGGTTGGCTCACTGAAACAGAAGGGGCGGCGAGGAGAACATATCTCTCTGTGAAAGTCGTTCCAATCGCGCTTCTGGCATTCTGCGGAACAATAGTAGGAGCTCTGGCAGGCGGAACAACGCCGAAATGGGTCCTTTCATTGATGCGGCCGCACTGAGTGTTCGATGTGAGAAGGATGATCATTCGGATAAATTTAACTCACACCCAGGTAGTCGCAAGCCTTGTAAGATGGACTCCGCATCGATGTGAAGGATTCTAATATGCGAAGGCGTTCGAGTGCTAATACCTTGAATTCGTGCCAGACATTATATATTTTGCATCGTTTGAATTTGGAGCTGCATTCCAGCTCCTGCGCCCCATTCAGTGCCACGGCCATCCTAGCCACGACATCATGGTAAATCAGGGAGGCGGGAGGATGCCGCACAGGAAGGCCATGAAATCACGATACACACTGTCCGCCATGTCCGTTGTTGCACATGATACCAGAGCAACAAGAAGACCAGCTTCTAGCGCGTCTGGGAGTAGTCGGTGACCTTTACTAGCCAGCAGGATCCTCTCTAGCAGCATGAAACAGCGGCTGATTGTAACGGCGGATGAAGGCTGGACAGATACCAAAGGGGGACTACTCAGGGCGCGCATCAGGGAGACGACGGCCGGCACGAATCCGCGAGCGCTGAGAGCTCTGGCAAGTGGGCCGGCTATCACCATGCTGTTTCCGGTTTCATGCATGCTCTCTGGCCGTTCTATCTCTGCCAGGAAAACCAAAAGACCATGAAGTAGGGCCATTATGTGGTGGGGCTCCATCTCGTCGTCATCAACGCCGATCTGCAAGACGCGGTGAATGTGTCCGACCACGAGGATGGCGACGTCGTCGATAGTTCCACCCGCACCATCAGTTAGATTCTGGAGGTTGGACGGAACAGATGGATTCCAGCCTTTCCAGGACTGGATGTGATCGATGACGATGGAAGATAATGTTGCATAGTCGTATGTGGACTTTACGGTTTGAACCGACAAAGCCCAGGTTCTGACTACCATGATTTGGAACTCGGGGTTATGGAAAGAACCTTCGATATCCTTGCATGGAACTGACTCACAAACTTCAGAAAGTCCCTGCAGATATCCCACTCGATCGGAGGGGGTTCGCACCACGTAAGCTGCTCGCGGTAGGTGTGGAAAAACACCACCCAGCCCAGGAACGCGGCAGAAGCTGGATGAATGCATCTTGGGAGTCAATAGTGATCGGCATAGCAAGACACCGAAATGAAATGAGAGCCTTGATAACAGTGGACCGCACAGCGCTCGAGGCGGCCTCCTCCAGGACGTCCAGTTGTTGTATAGTCGGGATACCAACCACATCGAGATTGGAGTAGAATACTGGGAGTAGTAGACTCTTCTGGCGGCGCGAAATCTGCGAATTGAGAACCAGATCGGCAATGTGGAGCACACTCTGTAGAGAGCCGTTCGCCGCTGCTGTGGCTATCGGCTGCCCGTGCCAGTGGTTATCATTTCAGTGAACTGTCTGCTTTAATGAATAGCCACCATAATCGAAGCCGGCAGAGCAGCTAGGCTGGATACGAGCAAATCTCGATGTATCGCCGGTGCCATGTGGTAAGGCCAGAAAACGAAGGCGATCGAATTGATTGCCAGTCGATGCCGGCCGATTGATGATTTCGGGAGTCACCGATTCGTGTTGATCCTTCCATTACTTACTACCTGCCGGTCCGGAATTCCAACATCTTTCGAAGTTCCTCCGAGGTTCCTACATGTAGCATTTCTCCGGACGGTTATTTTATGCTGGCTAGTATTCCTCCGAGTAGAGATTGGTATTGAGGATGAGGCATGCATGTCCCTATATCATCCTTCAAGTTTGTTAGCCTTAGCCATATTGTAATCCGGAGATGATTTAAAAAAATTCCGCGTGGGGGTAGGGGTGCTACACCGTGAGGGAAGATAGAAAAAAATTATTGCAGTGATGAAACATCATAATGCCGAACCTAACTTGAACTCCGGAGTTTCGATCACAATGCAGAAATCATCCATGGGATAACTGTATACTTGTAGGTACGCAACCAGCCGACCCACCTTGACATTGAGGATGGGTTCGGGCAACGCAACCAGACCAATTTTCTCAGTGACGGTTGAAATTTAGGTAACTGAAAAATTTCCTTCATGTTGAATATGCAAACACCCTCTGAAGCTCTTCGCTTGCCAAAAGCTGCTGTAGAATGGGTTTTAGGTGGGCTCTAACTTCTGGGAAATTCAACTCAGAAATGTATTTTATTTTAATATTCGCCTGAGTCACGGTCTCGAGCCAGGCAACCAACCTCTCCGTGACAGTGACCTATGGAGGTTTGGGCAACACAACTGAGACTGCGACGGTTGCGTACCTACAAGTATGTACAGTAGATGGTTTTCGAAACCACCATTTTTTTTGTTCTGTTTATTCATTGTTTCATTCTAACTTTTTTTGATTAGACAAGAAATTAGAGTTCAGCTGTCATTCAACTCCCCAAGCCTGATGATGCACAGTCAATAATTAACTCGCTGTCTTGCACCATCATGCTCTTTCCTGAGAGATGATAAGACCTGGCGGTGCATGGTGCACAGCCATAAAATCTGGTTCATGATTGAGGAATAGTGTATATAATGGGAGGTCCTCGTTCGAATCGAGGCCAGGTCATGGATCTTTCGATTGTCATCTATCTTTTCTTTCTGTTTTTCTTTCCACCTTTTTGGATTGAGTAAATTTCAGTCCAACATGAGACATGAGACACGACATTTATTCATGCAATTCCACTGAATGTTAGTTGGTACTGCAAGTTGTCACCGGCCTGAATCATTCTAATAAACTCAAGTTCAAATTATAGAGGTAGAAGACCTGGTGGTGCATGGTGCACACCCACCCAACTTATATGGTAAAGTCGGGATACGTTCTATGGGAGGTCCTTGTTCGATTCGGGGTCAGGTCATGGATAATCTTTGAGGCCCATTTTTTTCTTCTGTTCTCTCATTTTGTTTGTCTTGCTCTTTTAGTCAGACAAGTTGAGTTCATTTTCAAGAAGAGTTTTTTGAAGTTCGTGATGTAGGTGTACAATCAATGATTAACTCGCTGTCTGTCTTGCACCATCATCCTCTTTCCTGGGAAGGACAAGACCTGGCGGTATATGGTGCACACCCATCCAATTTTAATAGGATGAATCAAAAATTCAGTGGCAGATCCTTGTTCGAATCGGGGTCAGGTCATGTTGTGTTCCGAGTCTTTTTTTCAATAATAAAAAAAGAAAGCTTGCTGTGCCAGTGGCCAAGTTCAATTTGTTCGACAAGTTCCGGTTAAAATTTTATAGGTGTAGGACCTGGTGCATGGTGCACACCCGTAACACCTAAAGTGTGTGGGCTGATGAGTGTATAATGGGAGGTCCTCGTTCAAATCGGGGTCAGGTCATGTTGTGCTCGCTTGCCATCCCTTTTTAAAGAAAACTTGCGGTGGTGGCCAGGTTTAGCTCTTTCAACAAGTTCCGGTTGATATTCTATAGTGTAAGACCTGGTGGTGCATGGTGCACACCCATCCAACTTCAGTATAATGAATCAAAAATTCAGTGGGAGATCCTCGTTCGAATCGGGGCCAGGTCGTGAGATTCAATTGTTTCTGTTTTTCTTTCCACTTCGCCTACGTATTGAGTAAATTTGAGTTCAACATTCAACCCGACATAGTATTGATTCACCAATAACATTCCACTGATTGTCAGTTGGCCTGAAGGACCCCATAAACTCAAGATCAAATTATAGATGGAGAAGACCTGGTGGTGCATGGTGTACACCCATAACACCTGAGGCGAGCGAGATCGATTAGGGTATAATGGGAGGTCCTCGTTCGATTCGGGATCAGGTCATGGGTTGATTTCATGATCAATTTTTTTTGGGTTCTGTGCATTCATATCTAGGCCTCTTACGCTGTTCACCAGACAAGAGATTTGAGTTCAGCTGTCATTCAAATCAAAGAGCTTGGTGATGAGTTATAAAATTCTGCAACACACACTCAGTAATTAACTCGCTGTCTTGCATCATCCTCTTTCCTAGAAATGATAAGACCTGGCGGTGCATGGTGCACACCCACCCAACTTGATACAGGTTTGGATGATACATTCAGTGGGAGATCCTCGTTTCAATCGGGGTCAGGTCATGTTGTGCTCCGAGCCTTTTTCTAAAATAATAAAAAAGAAAACTTGCTGTGGTGGCCAAGTTCAATTTGTTCGACAAGTTCCGGTTAAAATTTTATAGGTGTAAGACCTGGCGGTGTATGATGCACACCCACGCAGCTCAGGTGTTTGGGATGGAGTGCAGTGGGAGGTCCTCGTTCGAATCGGGGTCGGGTCATGACTTTGTAGTTGTATTCTCTTTTTTGTTATTTCTTTTCCACTTTTGCTTTTAGTTGAACATGCAGGCCAAGACAGGACATTTCTAGTTTTTACTGATCCACCAATAAAATTCCACTGGATGTCAGTCAATTAGCTACAGGCCTGAATCATTCTAATAAACTCAGGTTCAAATTATAGAGGGAGAAGACCTGGTGGTGTATGGTGCACACCCATAATACCTAAGAGGTGCGGGACAAGTGTATAATGGGAGGTCCTCGTTCGATTCGGGGTCAGGTCAGACATGTTTTCAAACCCTATTTTTTTGGGTTCTGTGCATTCATTGTCTCTCTCACTCTTTTAGTCAGACAAGATATTCCAGATCAGCTGTTGTTCAAATCAAAGAGCTTGGTGACAGGTTATAAAACTCTGCAATGGACAGTCAGTAAGTAACTTGCTGTCTTACAACATCATCCTCTTTCCTAGAATTATAAGACCTGGCGGTGCATGGTGCACACCCGTCCAACTTGATACAGGTTTGGATGATACATTCGGTGGGAGATCCTCGTTCGAATAGGGGTCATGTTGTCCTCCGAGCCTTTTTCTAAAATGATAAAAAAGAAAGCTTGCTGTGCCAGTGGCCAAGTTCAATTTGTTTGATAAGTCCCGGTTGATATTCTATAGGTGTAAGACCTGGTGGTGTATGGTGCACACCCATGCAGCTTAGATCTTTGATATGGGTGCAGTGGGAGGTCCTCGTTCGAATCGAGGTTGGGTCATGAGGGGTCCGAAGGTTTTTTGTTCTTTCTTGGTTCTTTCCTTCCACTTTTGCTTGCATGTATCGAGCAAATTTCAGTTCAACATTCAACCCGAACCAGTATTGATTCATCAATAACATTCCACTGATTGTCAGTTGGCCTGAAGGACCCCATAAACTCAGGTTCAAATTAGAGAGGGAGAATACCTGGTGGTGCATGGCGCACACCCATAATACCTATGGCGAGTGAGACCAATTTACGGTATAATGGGAGGTCCTCGTTCGATTCGGGGTCAGGTCATGATACCTTTATGGTTTATTTTTAATAAGTAAAAAACTTGCTAGTGGCCGAGTTCAATTTTATTTGACAAGTCACGGTTGATATTAAGACCTGGCGGTGCATGGTGCACACCCATAACACCTAAAAGGTGCGGGACAAGTGTATAATGGGAGGTCTTCGTTCGATTCGGGACCAGGTCATGCGGATTGCTTTCGGGAAAGCTATTTTTTTTGTTCTGTGCATTCATATGTCCCTCTTACCCTTTTCACAGACAAGAGATTTGAGTTCAGCTCATCAAAGATGAGTTACAACTTGGAATCCTGCAACAGACACTCAGTAATTAATTTGCTGTCTTGTACCATCCTCTTTCTGAGGAATGTGAAGACCTGGCGGTGCATGGTGCACACCCACGCAGCTCAGATGTTTGGGATGGAGTGTAGTGGGAGGCTCTCGTTCGATTCGGGATCAGGTCATGGGTTGCTTTCGAAAGCTATTTTTTTGGTTCTGTGCATTCATATGTCCCTCTTACCCTTTTCGCAGACAAGAGATTTGAGTTCAGCTCGTCAAAGATGAGTTACAACTTGGAATCCTGCAACAGACACTCAGTAATTAACTTGCTGTCTTGTACCATCCTCTTTCTGAGGAATGAGAAGACCTGGCGGTGTGTGGTGCACACCCACTAACTTTGTTCAGCCAAATTGAGGTAATACATTCAGTGGGAGGCCCTCGTTCAAATCGGGGTCAGGTCATTATCATGAGAATTCCGAATCGGTTTTTTTGTTCTTTCTTTCCTTTTTTTCTAATAAATGCTCCTCCCTGAGATAGATTTTTCGGCGTCCATATACGATTTTTTGGGAGTGGTGTTAAGTCGGTGTTTCAGATGGGATCAACCCCGCATGTGGTTGGGCTGCTGACCAATCTTGTGATCTCGTGCACTTTCTTCTCAAGCACTTGGTCCCCTTTCGTCGTCTGTGCTCCAGCCTGCCCACGCTCCTTACCCCACTGCATGTAACCCACCACCAACAGATCCAAAAAATATAATTCAACATGAGTACGTTCTCTCAAATAACCCCAGCTACCGGTGACTTACCGCATGGGATCTGGCAGGTAACACTTCGTGCGTAGTACTGCGATAATTCGAAACGAATTTCTAAGTCTTTGAATCGCTGTGGTCTACAGAGCATCCGGAATTTCGGATTCCCCATCCCAATCCGCCATCTCCTCGACTACGACAACCTCCACCACCACTTCCTCGACCACGACCACGACCGCATCCTTACCCCCCTCAGACCCAGTCTCCTCCAGCTTACCCCCCTCGGACAGCGCCTCCTTACCACTCAGCTCGAGTATCAGTCCCAGCAGCAGCCTCCCGCCTTCGACTAGCAGCCCCCCGCCCACCAGCACCAGCACCACGAGCGCCAGCACCAGCCAGGTCCTGTCCTTCTCCACCAACTCGAATGGGGGCGTTGTGACCTTTACGCGGACGCAGACGCAGACGCAGTCCGGCGCGACGCCGACTGCGAGCGGCGAGGTGAGGGCTGCGACGAAGAGGTGCGTGCTTTTCTTAAATTTTCCAAATTTCCTGGTGTTTTGTGGGGATTTGGCCGGGCGGCGAGCGCGCTTGGGTTTCGTTTTGCAGGCGTCTGGCGTGCCTGCCAGCGCAATTCTTTGCGGTCCACTGTCCCATTTTCTTCATTCCGTTCATCCATTTTTCTCATGCATACCGCTCCCCGTTCCCCGTTCTCGTAAACACATGCCATCCTTTGCCCCGTTTGTTTCCTCCATCTTCCATCCACTGCACGACATACTGCGGTTTCCCCCCCTCTACCCTCCCTAATACACCCTTGCTGGCCATCTACACATACACCCATCCCATCACCCATCCGTCCATCCACATCATTCCTTCCGCTTCACTCGAGTCTCGGATCCCCTTCGGCGTCCTCGCATCTGTCTGGGCTGTCATCTCGTATTTTCGCCCTGGGAAGCGGAATCACATGCCCCTGATGTCTAAATTGCAGCCGGAGTGCGGAGGACGATGCGCCAGCGAGGGGGAGACGCGGCGGTGTCGCGGGGTGGGTGGGGCGAAATGGGAACGCTCTCCGTTCCTTCCTTACCCGTCTCTCCGGACACCCTTGCTCGCTCTCATGGCGTCCCCTACATTCGTATATCCTCATTTCTCCCTTCTTGCGCTACAAGCCCTCTCCCCCCTCCTTCCTCCTCCTCCCCTCCCCATCCTTCTTCTCTTTCCCCTTTCCTTCCCCTCCGTTGCCTTCTTCTCTCCCCTCCCTCCTTCTCTCCCTTGTCCCTCCTTTTTTTTTTTGCCTTAACCGCATATTGACCCGAAACCGCGTACTGACCCGAAACACCCCAGCTTCCTCCAAAACAAAGGCGCCGTCGCCGCCGTCTTCACCATCGTCGGGCTCGTCGCCGCCGGCATCCTGTTCGCGCTCGTGACGGGGGCGATACGGAGGAGGAAGGTGGGTTTTTTTTTGCTTTGTTTCTTCTCTTTATTCCGATTTTATTGGGGGGGGGGGGGGAGATTTTTTTCGTGGAGAGGTGGAGGAGTTTCGCGGAAGACAGAGGGGGCGGGGGAGGGGGGGTGCATCCAAGTGATGCTCGTGGAGCATGAGTCGCCTCGCCCAGGCGCAGGTAGAAGGGGGGAGGCCGCCTGGGTGTTTGCTCGGGGTTTTTGGGGGGAGGGGCGGGACCGCGCGTTTGCTGGTGTCTGTGTGCGCGCGAGAAGGCGTCCCCGTCCCCGTCCCCGTCCCCACCCCCGTTCACTCGTGCCGTGCCCAACATCGGGCTGTGCGCCTCCGCGATGGTGTAAATGTGGATGCAGATGCAGGATGGCTCGCCTCGTCCCCGCTCTGATCGCTTTCCCGCGGCGTGCGTGTGCGTGCGTGTGCGTGTGGGCGTGTGCGTCTGTGCACGGTGCTGTGCGCACATGCGAGTAAGCGCGGACTCTGTTCGACCCACGCGCGTGGGCTCGGGGGTGAGGTGTAAAGTAATCCTATACGCTCCTCTTCGCACGCACCGTAGTATTGCTGTGTAGAAGGGAGAGGAGGGGGGAGGGGGAGGAGGAGGAGACGGAGGAGGAAACTATGGACGTGGACGGGGACGTGGCCTGGGATGCGCAAGGTGCTCTCTTCGAATTGGAGCTCCACACGCCCGCCTGGTCTTTGTGTTCTGTCTGTCTGTTTGTCCGTGGGATGGCGTGTGATTTGCGACGTATGGGGGGCAGGCGCACGACGTGGGTGTGGAGGGAGACGCGTTGGCTGCTGGAGTCCTTTCGACCGGTGTGCAGGACGTCTTTCCCTTGCCGTCATACTCCCCCGGCGGCTACACTCGTCGATTACTTGCTCATCTCCCTTTCCTCTCCCTTGCCCCCCTTTCACTTTACTTCTCTGCTTCTCTTTCTCATTTCTCATTCCTTCTTAACCTCCGCTGATCATTTTTCCCCCAGGCAAAACGCTTCGACCGCGAAATCGCCGAAGAAGCCAAGCGCGCGCCCGCGCCCGTCTTCGTCGACGACGATGACTATAATGATGGGGGCTACTCCTCCGCGTACGGCTCCGGCGGGGGTTACCACGACGGCGCATACGGCGCCGCCGCCGGTGCGCACGACAACTACACCGTGGCCGCCGACCCGTACGCCGCAGGGCACGGGCCGTCCTCGGATGGGTACCCCGCGTCGGACGCGGTGCACAGCGGCGGGGGGACGCCGAGCAACTACATGTACCCGTCCGGCTATTCGGACCTCGGGTTCTCGGACGTGAGCAGCCATGGGACGTTCGCGCAGCCGCCGATGGACGCGTATGGACATGGGACGGGGTACGGGGCGGGGGTGGGCGCGGCGGGGGCGTATGAGATGATGGGGTACGTGCCGCATACGGGCCAGGATTGGCATAACCAGGGCGGGCAGGGGGCGCAGGGCGGGTATGTGTACCCCGGGGAGGACCCGCATAATCCGGCGCAGGGAGGGTACCCGCCGACGGCGACGACGGCGCACAGCTCTGGCTCAGATGTGCTGGGGAGGAGTAAGAGTGGAGCGAGGAGTTTGGTGGATTCGTATAATACGCCGCCGTCGGAGGGGGCGAGCGGGAAGGGCGTGAACGTGCAGCAGCCGCAATATGCGGATGGGTATGTGTCGCATTACCAGAATCAGGGGCATCTGGTCGAGGATGGGGCGTATGGCGGAATGGAGAGCCATCATGGACATATAGTCGGCGAGGATGATGAGGAGAGCGAGGGGGAGGGGGATGGG